CATGATCCCAGCTAATGGTAGAGTTGTAGTGAAGGGTCAAGTAACCAAGGGATTAAGGACATCTAGACTTTGTGCTCTTCTACAACAAACCCCACAGGCATCCATTCCTTCTGATGTCGACATAGCTCCAACAGTCATCACTTATGACAAGGACAGCCCAGGTGACATCGAAGTGCATGTTTTCAACATCACCACCCGTACCATAGTTATACCTCCCAGATCCTTACTCTGTGAACTTCAACCAGTGACTCTGCAGGATGCACTATGTGGTCGACCTATAGATGAGAAGACTCTATTGGAACAAGTGGAAATAGAGAAAGAGAGTTTGACTTCTCAGGAGATAGAACAAGGCCTTGATGTTATCTTGAAGTTCAAGGACGAAGAGGATCTTGGGCACTCATCAGCTGTTCAACACCGGATTGATTTGACAGATGACCATCCTTTTAAGCAAAGACATCGTCGAATACCACCAGCCATGTTTGATGAGGTCCGAAGTCACTTACAACAACTTTTGTCTGCAGGAGTCATCCGAAGTTCACATAGCCCTTGGGCATCCAATGTTGTCTTAGCTAGGAAGAAGAATGGAGCTTTAAGGATGTGTATAGATTTTAGACAGCTTAACAACCGAACCATCAAGGATTCTTATGCTTTACCACGTATCGAGGAGCTGTTAGACTGTTTAGGAGGCATGACCTATTTCTCTGTTTTGGATATGAAGAGCGGGTACCATCAGGTTGAGATAGAGGAGAGCCATAAGGAAAGAACTGCCTTTACTGTTGGACCATTGGGTTTCTTTGAATATAACAGGATGCCATTTGGTCTTTCCAATGCCCCAGCGACTTACCAGCGACTTATGGAGCAGTGTCTCGAGGGACTCCATCTGAAGATCTGCCTCATCTACCTCGATGACCTTATAATCTTTTCAAAGACTTATGAGGAACATGTTCAACGTCTAGAGATGGTTTTCAGAAGACTCCAGGAATGTGGACTGAAGCTCGCGCCAAAGAAGTGTAAATTCTTCAAGCGCCGGGTGAGATATGTTGGCTATATAGTTTCTGCTAATGGCATCGAGGCAGACCAAGAAAAGGTTGACAAGATAAAGAACTGGCCTACACCATCAACTCCTGAGAAAGTTAGGAAGTTTCTCGGATTTGCTGGTTATTACCGGAAATTCGTGAAAGACTTTTCTAGCATTGCAAGACCTCTGTCTGAACTGATGCCAAAGTGTGCCAAGAAATCCAGGAAACAAGCCACAAAGACTATGATATGGAAGTGGGGTCAGGACCAAGAAAGAGCCTTTGAGGAGATCAAGACATGCCTTTCATCCCCACCCGTTTTAGGGTATGCTGACTACACAAAGCCCTTCGAGCTCAATACAGATGCCAGCACTCAGGGTTTGGGAGCAGTACTGTATCAGCATCAAGATGGCCACCCACGAGTCATAGCATATGCAAGTAGGGGACTGAAACCTTCTGAAAGAAACTTCTCTGCACATAAACTGGAGTTTCTGTGTTTAAAGTGGTCAATTTCAGAAAAGTTTCATGACTATTTGTATGGTCAGGACTTTGTGGTGATGACTGACAACAATCCCTTGACGTACGTTCTGACCACAGCTCGATTGGATGCTACTGGACACCGTTGGTTAGCTTCTCTAGCCAACTACAACTTTACCATCCAGTACAGATCAGGAAAATCCAACATAGATGCTGATGCCCTGTCCAGATTGCCTCAAAGAGAACATCAAGTACACATGGAAGAGGTCAACAAGGACTCAATAAGAGCAATCTGTGAAATTTTACAAGTGTCCAGTCTTGTTCAAAGTTTGATTCTATCCACCCCTGACATAGATGAGCAAGAAGAGATAACTGAAGACAGATGCGAGTTTAATGCCAGGGATTGGAGACGAACTCAATCAAAGGATCCAGAGATTGGTATCATCATTGATCATCTCAGAAACAGGACTAAACCAGACAGGACACATTTTATTGGGAATCAAGAGATGACTACGCTGTTGAAAAGTTTTCAGCACTTTCAGCTAAAGCGAGGTGTTTTGTATAGAGTCATCAAGACAGATGGAGAAGATCAAGAACAGTTAGTCCTTCCAACAAGATGTAGATCGGCATATTGCGAAGTCTCCACGACAACGTTGGGCATCCAGGGAGAGACAGGACCTTGTCTCTCATCAAGGACAGATTTTATTGGCCTGGGATGACCAAGGATGTAGAGACTCATGTTCAACGATGTGTGCCATGTCTGCGTCGTAAAACACCAACAGGAAGAGCTCCACTGGTCAGTATAGAAACCTCACAGCCTCTAGAACTGGTCTGCATGGACTTTCTCACCCTGGAGCCATCAAAGGGAGGACAGCAACATGTTCTAGTTGTGACTGACCACTTCACCCGCTATGCCCAGGCCTACGCTACCAAGAACATGACGGCCAAGACAACTGCTGAAGTCTTCTTCAACAATTTCATTCTACATTATGGGATACCTAAGCGTATTCACTCGGATCAAGGAGCAAACTTCACTGGGAATCTCATGCGAGAGTTATGTCAGCTTCTGAAAATCAACAAATCTCGGACCACACCATATCATCCAATGGGGAATGGAATGTGTGAACGTTTTAACAGGACTCTCTGCAACATGCTTGGTACTCTTGATCCAGATAGCAAGAAGAACTGGAAAGCCTATGTTGGACCACTAGTACACGCATATAACAGTACTCGCCATGAATCAACAGGCTTTGCACCATTCTTCTTGATGTATGGACGTCATCCACGTCTCCCGGTGGATATAGCTTTTGGACTTGACATGGATTCAGCCAAGTCAACATCAATGACCTGTTACATCAAAGACTTGAAAGATCGTCTCACCCAAGCTTATGACATAGCATCGTCTGCAGGTAAGAAAGCCCAGTCCAGGAACAAGAGTTTCTACGACCAGAAAGCAAGAGCAGCTGTCATTGAGAAGGGAGACAGAGTACTTGTAAAGGTGGTTGCCTTTGACGGCCGGCACAAGTTAGCAGACAGATGGGAAGAAGATATTTATGTCATCTTGGACCAACCAAATCCATCCATACCAGTTGTTGTCGTTGGTAAGGAGAATGGACACGGACGGACAAGAACCTTGCACAGGAATTTACTGCTTCCTATCGGCTCTCTTCCCCAAACAGCGCCAGTACCTAAACCAAGACGAATCAAGTCTCCACAACCACAACCTAAAGTTCGACCAAGGACGTGTGTAAACCAGTCACCCAGAGAAGACACCACAGGCATCTCACAGGATGAAGATGAACTGGAAGATGGAGAAGATATGGTGTTAGTCACCACTCATCATTCGGACTCTGCAGGGTCAGCTCTTTATCCAGCTGACAGGCCACCTGAAGACAAGACGAACGAAGATGTTGAGAGTGAGGACCAGAACACTGAAGTTGATGGAAGGGATGAGACTGCAGATGTTGAACAACAGGAACAGCCTTCAGAAGAACCCCCAGTTCCACCTGTGGATGTCCCACCAGACAGAGAACTTGCTGCTGCTGCACCGATTCCAACGGTACCACCGAATCCTCAACCAAGGAGGTCTGTTTCGAGAGCGGAGACCCCCTAAATGGATGAGCGGTGGTGAGTTTGCTCTTTCAGCAGTTACTCAACCAGACTGGTTATCTCGAGCAAACTATCTCAGTTCTCTCATAGAGGAAGGATTGCTTGAGGGCCAGCCAAAACGTCTCTCTGATGCTCTACTGGATCAGGTCACAGGAAAGAATAAATGACGAGGACGTCATTTCACCAAGGGGGGAAGTGTGTGACAGATACAACATTGTACATATTTATTTTATTCACCTTCAGTATCTGCTTTTAAGTGTTCAACGTTAAACAGAAATAATTAGTTAAGATAGATTAAATGTAGTTAATATGTCCTTCATGTTGTAAGCCTTAACAAACCAAAGCCATGACGTGCTCAACTGATTGGCCAAGCTAACCCTCAAAGTTGACCCTTTCCTGCACAGACAAGTTGACAGATGAAATAATCTAAAATCAGGTTAGTATAATATATATGTGTATACTTGTATGTTATTGCAGTTAAATGTTGCAGTATATTAAACCTATAATACTAAACTTAACTAAACGTGTTTAATATTATCATATTCTCAGTTACAATCTATTTAAGTAAATGTGGTAAACAAGACTTCTAAATTGTAAGCTTTGTCATTACTAATATATCACTTTTCTGTCTCTTTATTCTTGTATGTATGAGGAAGAATGTATGTGTTGTTTTATGGAATAAGCTATGTTTTAATTGCTTTTGTGATCAGTTCTGTATAATATACATTCTGTACTATGCGGGGTCCAGAGAAATATTTTAACGTGTATGTAAATAATTGTATTAGTCATTGTTATAAAAGTATATGTTTTATTCAGATATCCGGAATTATAAGTTGCGGTGCTAGTCGGGAAGATACCCCAGTCTCACCCACAGGGTAGGCACATAATAACTTGTAAAGTCAGTTTCAATATTTGTGTAACACATAAGTGTATCACACCCGTAGAGGCGTGTATATGTATGTATTTTGAAAGAGATTTATAATCTCTTTACACCTAGTTAATATATAAATAATTATTCTATTTGGTTCTTACATCAGTTAGCAGATCATTGTACAGTGTAACAACTAATATATGAAGAAGATGTGTTTGTAATGTAAAATGGTTTGTAATACTGTGATGTCGATGATTGCATTATGTATATTGTTAATATTACTTATCATTCCTTTAATATGTTTCAGGGTGTAGATACTAGATACTACATATTAGATAGATAAATATGTGACCGATCCATTGGCGAAATGAACGTCTCTCACCCGTTGCGTGTGTTTGGCTATCACATCATTCACTGCCCTGCTACATTAAGAGTTGTAACAAGGGTGAACCCGCAACCCTTAATGTATTTTTTTTACATTAAGAGTAATGTTTACATTAAGGGTTGTAAACAGAGCCATGTCATACCTGAATGTGCTGTGGCACGATTATCTCTGACGCAGGTACAATCAGTTGCAGAGAAAATAGTGTTGGGCGGACAGGGTCTTGTTATCCAGCTATTGGCCACTCGCTGTTGATACATCGCCTCGTCATCAGAAAAGGGACGGTATCCTGATTCCTGGCAGTGACCTTCGCAAAATAGAAAATAAATGAATTCGGTCGACTCTCAGGAAGATGTCAGGAGAAAAAAACCATAAGGCATGTTAAAAAAGAAGGCAATCGACTTAGGTATGTGTGCACTTGCGTGTTGGCGGCACAGCACAAGCTTCTTAATTAATTACTGGTGCTTCTGTACACACTGCTTGTACTATTGTTGTGTTTTGCTTGTTGAAATACATGGAACGTAAGGCCATCATCAATGTTATATATTAGGTGGTCTCAAACGTATGTCAGCAGTATTGTTGGCATGGGTTTTGACGTTGATTTAATAGTTATTTAGTTGTATTATAAATGAATAGTATAAGCCACCATAACTCGAATCTTATTTGAGCCGTGGATTAGGTTCGATATGATTGTCATCGTACTCGATGGCGTGGCTGTTGCTCACATCATCAACTACTATAAGTACTACTACAAAATAGTTTGAGGGCCATATATTGTTTAACAATATTTACTTATTTCTATAGGAATTAGACAATTATATAATATACAACTGGTAATATTATTTATATATACTGATACTATCGTGTCGAATTTGTAATTTTACTGATTTCATTAGAAATATTACTAAATGGATCGGCAATATTTAAACAAAACTTAACGATTTAAGCCATGTTGATTGTTTAACGATCAGTCTTTTGGCCGAGCCAATGTTTTTTGCATTTCATCATGTTTAGAAAACAAACACGCTCACACACACACACACACGCACGCACGCACGCACACTCACACACATGCGCGCTGATATATACGAGGACATGAAAAGGAAGTTACCTGAAACTGTTAATGATGACAGCAGATGTTTTACTATTATAAAACTACTTACTGCTTGTGTTCGTGAGAGTTGCAGATATGCTTTGTGTTGCGTTGTATAAGCACACGTCTTTACATTGGTTGGATAAACTGGCTTTACAACCACCATTAGCAAGTATCTGTAACTCTTGACAACAACGGACACTTCTGACTCTTCCACCGACGCATTCATAGTACGTGCGACAGTTGCCACCAACTGAGACGTGTGCATTTCCTGCTGTGTCCATACAGGGATCTGGAGAAAAAAAGTTATTGGCTAGAATATATAGAGATAAAAACACGAGTGCCTGTCAGATACCATTTATCTTACAACGAGTTGTTTCAAAACGTATAGATACGCTTTGAAACAACGAGTGTAAGTTAATGGTATCTGACAGGCACGAGTGCAGTAATCTGTTTCTTACACACCATAAAATCGCACCTTTTAAGCGTCGACTCGATGCATTTTGTCTGTTCTCATGATCGCAGTGGCGCATTAATACATAACACACCGGTAATGAATGGCGTCATCCGACGTACTGCTTACTATTCATAAATAATGTGACCCTACACCTGAACCTAAAAACGTTTCCGCCATCAGTGGATTACAAAGGCGATGATGATAGTGCATGATGCCGACTTAAAAAAATTCCCCTCAAAGAAATTACCAAATATGTACAACAATGTTTACTACCGTATGACATCACTGCCGGTGACCGACTTCTACAAAATGGCATGTTCACTGACACCAGTACACGGGATTTTCAGAGGAGGATTTTCGTTGATTGAGGGATGGTACATACATAAATGTGCCATGTAAGTAATCAGAAATAATCAGAGAACTGCGTACTGTAATTTGTGATTTTTTAAAAATGTTTTCCAATATAACAAAGAGAATTTATCAGAAATGCAGATAACTACCGTCGTCGTTGTGCGTGACTTTGCATCTGTCATGGCGTCACACAGGACGGGAACGTTTACGATTTCTGTTGAATTTCCCTGATCATTGAAATGTATATAATTTTAATTCCATTATTCGTGCTACGATACTCTCACCACGAATATTCTCAAACGCGTCAGCCAATGTATGCAACAATTAGACGAATTGATCTCTCAAAATGGGAGAGAGTAAAATCTGAATTTTATCTGATCACCAATGTGCTATTTTTTTAATTCAATCCTTCGACTAAATGTCTGATATTTAGATTTTTAAACACACAGTAATTTTGGTTTGCCTCAAATGACAGTGGATTATATCACAGAAGAGGGAATTACGAACAGAATTCAAAACTTGTTGTGTGCGTGATGATGTATTTCGAATTTTAGTCGACTTCGAAGTGAGGGTTGAAGAGGAAAGACATATATATCGTCGGATCATATGTTTTCGGACATCAGACGTTTCAGACGGCAATGTTTATCGCGAATTACTCCCGCTATAACAAGGGTTGTGGTGTCAACAGACATTGTAAATACTCAGATGATGGCTTGATTTTTAGATAAAGCTGTTTTTGATAAGTGAATGAGATGTTTTACGGTTCTTGTGATTTGCGTCCGAAAACCCACAACACGGGAATATATCTATTTACACTCTAAAACCATTAGATCTACGTTCAACACAGATGTAGGTGGACATTCGACTGAAGCACGAGCAACTTATCAATGACTTATGATCTGGAAAATAGTCCGTCATCACAATGGAGTAGCCAATCACTTGCCTGGAATTTGATCTCACACATATGTTTCATGCCAGTTATCTCAAATGGGTTTCTCACCCACAGGTGTGTAAGAATAACATTTATTACATGACATGACGTATAAGCAACAGTGATAGTTTGATTCTTGTTCGTTGGCTATCACTGCTTCATTTCAGATCACTCACCCTGTGATCTCTATTCTAAAAGTCAAGTATTTCTTTAACTGGCTTGAGTCTTTGTGAGATACATTTGGACTAAGGGCATTCGTGAATATAAATTATAGAGAGTGTTTTACTGTCAAATTACATTATGGCCGTTATTGAATTCTTTATCCTTACCTGACGTTAATACGATATCCCATAAATATGAACTATAAATAAAGCCATAACTCACAGTCAGAAGTGTACCAATAGTAGAATGTTATTTCTGTCTCTGTGCATCGTTTTTATTTGTCCAAGGAATAACGTTGAACCATGAATAAGAAATGTCACTATATTTTGAATACACTACTGTAATTCTTCTGGTGCTATGAACTAATCAGGAACCGTTTTTCATATTTTGTTGCTACGGTTTCCTAGTCGAAAAGATGAATGAGAGTCGTAAGACACAGCATGGTCTCGACATGTTTATGGATTCATAGACACATTTTTCACAGTTAATAATACATATTAATAGAATAAAGAAGTACCAATAAACATCAGTTTCCCCTGTGAAACAAATATATGTAAGCCAGTTTCACCGGGAACATCAACTTGACGCTATATGATGATTTGGGTGGGTTTAGGGTATTGTTTGCTAATGGTTCCGTCTTTTTCGTTTCACATTTTATAAGCCATTCAGTATTTCTTCCAGAACTCAGTACGTTAATCATGGCAAGTGCTTAACAAGTGTAATTTGCTGTTCAACGTGTTCAAATGAGTTGGTTGTATTTCTCACACCTATCACATGAACTAACATTTTGACGTGTCGTGTCTTGCTTGATAAACTTTCAAGAAAGGTCTTCGTCGTCCAAACTGCAAATATTATATGAGTCATGTCTCTACATGACGCACGTGCGTTGTGTCACGTGGTGGTGGGTTGGGTGTGATGGTGGGGGGGGGGGGGGGGGGGGGGGGTGAGGGTGTGTGTCATGGTGGGACGCCTCTGTCAACCCGCACTTCGGTTCTCGAGATTTTATCCACGCTCTATCCCCTCTTTAGCCCAATAAGGAAGTTATATACACTTTTCGGTTTGGTGTTGGCACTGCACGTGTGTTTCCTAAAGCCACAATGACAATGGATTTGTACAACTATTTTTTACCTTGACAGACATCTCATTGAAATTTGATATGTGTTATTCATGATACATTAAAATCATCTGCAAATAATGACCCAACAACAAAGTGAATCGATGCTCATGGTGTCACTCTCTGGATTGTCTGGTCCAGGCTCGATTAACTGCTCTTGCTCCTTATTTGTATGTATTTCTGTTGAGATATAAACTAGGTAAACTGTTGGGCTGACTAATTGCCATAAAAAAGATTTGACAAAAGCCTGTATGGTATCTAATATGCAGCTGTAACATGGGGAATCAGCTTGGGTCCAGCTGAAACAGTTCTTCATATAGTGGATGAAAAAACATTATTATCAGGAGTGTTTCATGGATTTGAACGTAAATTTGTAATATATTAAATAAACAATTTCATAAGGAGGCGCTGAAGAGAAGGCTCATCACCTTCCACAAAGAGGCTGGCAATAGAAGGTGTCCTAAAGGCGCCAAGACATACCTTGATTTTGTATTGCATTGATTCTTTTCTACACTGCTTTTTCTGGCTCCACCATAAATAACTGATCCATGATCTAATTTGACTTTCATCAAGTAAAAAACCTTCAGGCATTAAGGCTAGTCCCAAGAATATGGTCTCCGCCACAACTGTAATGAGAGTACCATTAAGAAAGAATTCGGGATTTAATGGGATTTATAACAAAAACTAATATAATTCGTCCTGGCTTGTCAATTCTAACATTCTATACAATGTCTAAACAAAATAACTTTTACATGTATTCCAAAGTCATCTGTGCTGCTTAACAAACATAAACCATGCTTTAACGATGATTGCAAAGAAGCTAGAAAGGCACAGAAAAGGACAGAGCATTATTTCTGTTGCCATCCCATGGTCGACAATTTGATATTAAAAATTATTAATGTTATTGTCCGACGTACTTTACAACCAAAACAAAAGTCTGTCTCAAAATCAATTCATGTGCGTCCATGTCCTAAGTATTATCCAACCTATTAAAGGCGTGGGTTCCAAATCTAGCATTCACCATCTTAAAAATGGGGACGACTTATTAACAGATACTTCAGACATTGCCAAAAGTTTGGCGAAACGTTCTTTTTCATGGAACTATGTCCCTAAATTTCACATATATCAAAAGCTGAAAGAAAAGAAAGCTACTAATTTTAATTCAGATAATGGGGACGATTATAATGGAATCTTTTCTATTCATGAGCTCCATACTACCCTGATAATTAGTCCAGGCAATCTGGGTCATTTTTTCACTCAACTTGGAACAAATTTGAACAGAATTTATTTCACAACTCGCTGAAGTATAGTTAACACTTTTAGAGAGAAACTACGTCACCAGAGCGCCCTTGTGGCCCAAACTTTCAAGATGGCCGCCAAGAGCTTGATGGTTAGACATAGAATATCAATACACTGTTGGTCTATGATGACATATTTGAGTGATTTCAACTTTTACTTTGGGGTAAACAGACCCCAGGATCTGTGTAGAATACTCAATCATTTGCATAAATCTAATATAACCACCAAACATCAATAGTAATCTCTTAAATGACATGTTTTTGCGAGATGAATTTCGATGTTGATTGTTATTGTCTGAATCTACTTATCAATATGACAATAAATGCTGTAACAAGTTTCGTTTTCATTCATGTAAATACTTGTTGGAAACAAGTATGACCTATTTGAGATCTTCACAGAATTTACTCAAAACCAGTTGTTTCACAAAGAAGTCGATGAGTTATAACCCTTGTAGTTCATTTGCGGAAATTCAATATAACCACCAAATACCAATATTTGAATATACATCTGAAAACATTTTAGCCACTGTTCATTCCATTATATGATTGTGTGATTCATGAAGATTATTACGCGAAGAATAGTGGCAAAGTTGTCATCGTGAATACTGTAGATATACGTTGCAAGGTCATTACACCTGTGATAGATTGACATGGAACTTTGAATGTTACAGTTACAAATATTCAGTATGGATTTTGGAAAGTTAAAGGACTGTTTACCATTTATTCTGGTTAGAGTCATTTATTTAAAATGCAACTTACTGAAAACCAACATGCAGTGTCTTCTTTTGCTATCTATAAAAAACATAACAGACCATGTAAACGTTAGTATTTTAAACGATTAAAAAGTTTTTTAAACATGATTTTTGAGAAGTCGTTTGCTTCAATTAATATCCACGTTTTCATCATTGTTTCATGAAAATAAACAGTTTATCGAAGGTTTTTATCGTCAATTGTGGATGATTTTTTATTTGTTGTCATA